AAACATCGTCATAAATCTAATGAACTTTAATTAGATTTCGAATCTTAATAAAATGTGAGATTTTTAAACAAAACATACCTACGCTATTTTTGCATGAGTAGTCCGTTTAAATTAGCCATTAATTAATTAACACAAACTAGATATATAAAAATATACCTTCCAATATTGACATGTTAGAAATGTTCCTTGCTTACAAGAAATGGCGAGAAAATGTATCTAAATCGGACGAATTTGCAATTGTTAAGTGTTCAGAAAACTTGCAGAATGAATTAAAGAGTGCCAGTACTTTGGCAGTTTTATATGAAAACAATTTTACCCCATTTCAGTATACTTACAGACAGCGTTATCAGCAGCCTCGTTGCTCTCAAATTCGACGAAGCCAAAACCACGTTTGCGACCTGTTGTTCTGTCCAATAGAATTTTAACACTTTGTACAGTGCCGAATTGTTGGAAGTATTCTTGTAGGTTTTGTTCATCGTGATTATCTCTGAGTCCTCCAACAAAAATCTTTCTTACTGCGCTACCACCATTGGAATAGCCACCACCACCACCGTTTCCATTTCTGTTAGTTTCAGAACGTGGCAGAGCAGGTTTTGAATCAACATTTCTTTGGTGGGAAAAATTTAAATTTGTAATATTGTAAGGAATTCGGACTATTATTATTTACCTTCCATCAATAACATGAGGTTTCACACTTTGAGCTCTTTCAATACTGGCAGAATCCTTGTATGTGACAAACCCAAATCCTTTAGAACGTTGTGTTGTGGGGTCACGCTTTACCACAACATTTGTTACTTCTCCATACTGTGCATAAAAATTAGTTAAGCTTTCTTCTGTTGTATTGGGAGCCAGACCACCCAAAAACAATTTGCAGGCGTAATTATCATTTTCAAACTGAAAAGATAATATTTTGGTTTAATTAGACTTATAAAAAATCAATGTTTTAACTAAAAAAATCAAATACCTATAGAAATCAATTTTTTAATATTATAGTTCTCATATGTTAACAATTGCAACAAATGAGAGCGTATGAAAGATAATAATAGTAAAAGCAATATAAACAGGTATCATCGACAAATATTAGCATGTTTTTAGCATGGATTTTTGGTAAAGAAAGTTTGGAACCTAATTGATATTAAACTATCGATAACAAATATATTAAATATTTACAAATAGTTTGGAGGCATAGCAAATATCGAGAGGTGAATGGTGAAATACGATCGTTATAACGCAAAACACTAGCACAATAAAAGTTTTAGCATTTGAGTAGAGAGTTATAATGCCGCGACTGTACCGATATTACGTAAAGAAATTAAATATTTATAGGTACCTAGTGCATAACAAAATTTGTAAATTAACACAAGATTACAATGTTAGATTTTGTTCTAACCCAAATCTATTCGAATACCATGTGTCAGTTCAAAATATGTATACAATTTTTTATTATTATTATCAATTCAAACCGGGGATGAGTTTTGAGAGGAATCATCGAATTGTTGCATTGTGTAAACTTTAATTATATTTTCATATTAGTATATTTTACAAATACTTTGTAAAGCCATGTGTACATACAACAAAAATACATAGCAAAAATACTTGTTTGTACAAACAAAAAACTACTAAAACTACTAAAGGATGACCAAGTTTTAATTTAAATATGCATACACATATAAACGTATTTACAATATATTAATTCTATAATTATATAGTTAAAATGTGAGATTTACGAAGGGATAAATAATATACTGTCAACACCTAATTTTTTACTATCTCGCCATGAGTTCATAAAGCAAGAATTGCTTTGGTGAAAAAAACTGATGACACGAATACCGTCCGATTTTGGTATACACATTTATTCATAAGATAATAAAACTAATATACAAATGTACATACCTGATTTATATCTGTGTAAGGTCTTGCAACTGCAACGTCAGCCATTTTTAAGTTGGTTTAATTAGTAAGTTTGAACAAAATATTTAGAAAATTTAACTTCACAGACTGTGAAAAATGCGTAGCAGAATTAAACGACTTTTAACACGTTTCACTAGTATATGATGCTAATCACCTCCCTTTTGGATAATGTGAAAATAAAATGGCTTCGTTTCTGTTGGGAGTAGTGTGAGCATACATCAAAGTCAACCTAAATTTATCCACGATAACGGCGTCAGAAAACTTTTCAGGGTTACCAATTTAAAATATTAAGACTAAAAATGCAACTCTGATTGATAGTTTCCTGACGTTAAACCACACAAATCTTCTGAAAATAAAGGGCAAGCTTTTGAATAAGCAAAATTTTTATAATGAGAGTATGGGTATAATGAAATTTTTACCGAAAGTAGGTCTTGTTATCCTAATCACAGCAACATGACGTAGGTGGCCTTCGGCCGGATCTTGAAATTTTCTCCTCTGGGCATGGTACAAAAAAAGGTAAGGTAGAGCTACCAGCTGATTACAATTATTCCAAGTGTGCCCGACCTCTGCCAGTTTTGTGTATGCATTTATTGTTTTGAAAAATAAAAACAAAATATTTTCAAAATCAATGATTGGAAGAAACTTAAATTACGAAGCGCGCCTTAATGATATTAACCAGATTTAATGTGGAATTGAAATATTGAAACCTTAGGATCATATTTTTGAAAGAACATCCAGGCATATCATTCATCTTTGCGCTATTTTACTCCTTTTAAAAATGAACAAAGAATACCAAATAAATGAAAACAACTTGTTGCATATAATTTTGGCAGAAAGCAACATAGGACATAGTCTCAGAGCTGTATATCTCTAGTTTTACGAAGCTATTCTACCTCCTTATTGTACCATGCCTCTGGAGCATGGCACAATTACAGAAGATAGAACAAAGCTACCCCCCAAATACAAGTTGTGTTCCAGTACTTTTTTAGTAGCAAAACTAGCAGAAGAGAGAACAGTTCGAAATGTCATTCTCATTTAGGTTTGCTCAAAAAATAAGGGAACGGCAAACAGTCTAAATTGGACTGGTGAAACCTTACTGAAAAGGACGCCAAAATTTAAGAAAATGAGTATTGAAGACGTTAAGTTAAAAGTTATAATCTATAATAATAATTAATAATCTGATTCCTCATTCAGCCAGTCCTCTTCACTGCTGGAATCATCCAAAAATGAATACATCAGTTGCTCCATATTTTCTCTTTTTGTTTTTTTGCACGACAAATATTAGTTTTTTCTTTAGTTTTTAAGTTGATGATTTTCTTTATTTTTGTTGTGTCGCGCGAATGTTGAAATGTATCAATACATTTTTCAACCTTGTTAGCCCTGCCAATTAAATGTCAAATTTACAATATGCACATTTCTGAAATTATTTTAAGTTTGGTTGCAAAATAAATGCAAATTTTCGACGAAATGGGTTATAAATTGTACAATTTTGTGATCAAACTGTATTGACCTACTGTTTTAGATTACATCTTGTGGAATTACACCGAAATTCCATTCTTGTTTCGCAGGTTTTTCCCAATATAAGAAATTTAAAAAAAAAATAGAAACAAAAAGCTTACTGTTGCATATTTAAAATATTTTTTGATATTGTAAGACTCCAGAACAGAGTTGCATTTTTTTAGTTTTGTTGAAGTTGAGCAACCTTTCTTATTGAGCCATGCAGCTGGTGGAAGATTCTGAAAATTTTACCGAATGTGGGTCCTGTTATCCTAATCACAGTGACATAACGTAGAGAGAGAATTTCTACTCTGGGTTATGTCCAACACCGACTTCCCAGACAAAAAGTTTTTAAAGAAGCCGTCCTTCAGCCTGGGCTTGAGATTTCCTCCCCTGGGATATGTCCAAATTTAATATTTTTTAAATAACCGGAAAATATAAGGTCGGTACTTTTTAAAATGTGGGAACCTATGTTTCGGGAAGTATAGACCCACCTCCCGAAAATGTTTTGTTGATGTAACCATACATCAAACCTACAAAAACCTACCTGTATTGACATTTTGATGTTTTTATTGCAATTATTGGCTTAGAAATAGAAAATTAAAAATGTGTATTTTTGGAACTTTGGAACCTTTGACAGTAAGAGAAGAGAGAGTTATTGCTCGATTTGATACGAAATTTTAACCAGATTTATTGGTTAATCCTGATTTATGCAATCAGATTTAATATTCAAAAATAGAATTTCTTACGACCAGTCCTCTTAAGAGTGTATCTGAACACACAATATTAACCCACTGGGTTAATCTTCAATAGTATAAATGTGCTTTAAACGCTATAAACTCACAAGATTAACCCAATGGATGGGCATCTTTCAATGGTATGAATACGCCACTATATTGCGTGAAAACGGGGATCAAATTAGAGATGCTTTCAGTTTTAGATTAGGATAACCTAAAAAGTATGAATAGTCTGCCAGCAATTAGTGAGAGTACATAAAAAGCTTGAAGCCTTCGCATGGAACATTTTGTGACATATCAAAAAGGAATGCCAGAACCATACTTAAATTCTGCCGTCGTTTTCCATATAATTTGACATTAATATGCCTAGGTGCTTATGTACCCTCACCTTTATACGTCCTGTTTCAGCTGAACGGCATTTATATCCTCATAAGCGTGTATACATGCCGCAAGCACAAGGTATCACTTCAAGTTTTAAAAACAGATGAAATATCGAAATATGTTTACATTTTGTTGGCTATTTGTTTATCTTTTACCATGGTAGAAGAATATAGGTAGATGCATCAACGCTTGGGAACATTGATATGTCAACATTTTTAAGTGCTTTGTCAAAAATAAGTCGATTTTTATATATTTTCTTATACGACGCAAATCGGAGATTGTACTGATATGTATTTTTCAACAATTTTTACAAATTTCAATAATTTTTCATTCACGATTTTCAATATCAATATAGTTGTCCCAGCAGTTGTGCCGATGCGACTACCTGTATTCTTCTACCATGATCTTTTTCTGTGATTTCAATCACAATAATGTATTTTGACATTACATTTGGAAGTCAGCGGGTTTGGCAAAGGGAATCTATACTTATGAATCGTTCGCCGGGGGTCGTTTACAACTTTATCGGCGTCACAACAGCAATACTTTCACGCCTTGTTTCATCGTATATGTCGTATATATACACATTTTATTTACATCCGTAGATTTCTTCAGTGGTTTACGAACATAACATGGTAAGCGTTAACAAATACTTTAGAAAATAAGAAACCAATTTAAAGTATGTACTTCAGTATAATTCAGAAAATGATCATTTACGCAAATTGTTTTTGGGTGGATTGTCCCAAAATTCAACGGAGGATTCACTGAGGGCATTTTATCAAAAATTTGGAGAAGTTATTGATGTAACTATTCGACGAGACGCTACTGGACGATCCCGAGGATTTGGTTTTATAACATTTTTCGATGAAGCATGTGTTGACAAGGCTCAAACGGCCAGACCTCATATCGTCGATGGCAAGTAAGTGGTATTTAAAAGCACCTGTAGTTATTATTAAACGTAGCATAACGTCGTATTTTATTTTTGTAGAACTATTGATTCAAAACGTGTAATAGCAAAGCCAGAACCAAAACTCAGGGGATCTGGGAGAAAAGTTTTCGTTGGTGGATTAAAGGATGTTCACACGGAACAAGCTCTTAAAGAACATTTTCAGCAATTTGGAAAGATTTTAGGTATTAAGATTTTAGTAGATAAAAATACGGGTCGTAACCGAGGTTTTGGCTATATTGAATTCGAAGATTATGATTCAGCTGACAAGGCCGTATGTAAGTATAAATTGAGTGTTTTCTTTGGAGTGACAAACCGTCTTTTACAAAATATATTTTTACTTGAATCTGCAGTGCACAAAAATCATACCATTAAATATTTGACAGTTGATGTGAAAAAATCAAATTACAAGCCCGATCAATCTAGAAATCAACAACAAAATGGAATGCAGCAAGTTAGTGGCGCACCACCACCAGCGTATCCACAACCTGCTTATCCCTCTCCTTATGGTTACCCACCAGCGCCACCAGCATATGGCGCCGCACCAGCTTGGGGAGCCCCTCCACCTGCTACAGCTCCTGGTGGATATCCCCAACAACCAGCAAATCCAGCTCCTGGGGGATACCCACAGCAACCACCACCGGCTTATGGTGCCCCGCCGGCATGGAATGGGTGGGGTTATGGAGCACCTCCAGCACCAGCAGGTGCCGCTGCACCACCTGCAAATGGGTGGAACAACGTCGCTTCGCCACCAGCAAACCAAAACTTTGGAAACTATCAACAATCGTATAACGGTGGTCCTGAAAAAGGTGGCAAATTACAAGCAAATCGAAAAGCACCCTATAGATCTTAAAAACTGGTAAGTATTGCTCATATTTTTGTTTATATACGGTATATTCAAGAATTACAACTAATATTTTTAGAAAAAAAAGAAAACAAAATGTAGAAGAAAATAAATTACCAATGAACAGAATTAAATAATAGGGGTGCTTCAAAAATTTTCTTGAAGTCAATACACATTTTAGCAATAATCTCCGAAATATATGTCCAAACTCAAACGAGTGGCAAAATATAGAAATATTTTGTTTTCATAGCATATTAATATTCACATTTTTAGAATGATTTATTTCAAAATTATTTAAATCTTAAATCTTATGGTTAGGAGCATGGTAAAATCATGGTACAATGATATCAAGGTAGGGCTATGATACCATATGATTTTAATTTTTTTTTTATTTTCTTGGCATAATATGTCATCTTTATTTGTTTATGTATGTGTTTTCTTTTCAATAACAAAAAAAATTTTCAGAAAACATTTAAAATCGGGTGTTTTCAAAATGTTTATTTCAACGTATGGTAAAATCATGGTACAATGATTTCAAGGTAGGGCTATGATACCATATGATTTTAATTTTTTTTATTTTCTTGGCTTAATATGTCATCTTTATTTGTTTATGTATGTGTTTTCTTTTCAATAAAAAAAAAAAAATTTCAGAAAACATTCAAAATCGGGTGTTTTCAAAATGTTTATTTCAACGTATGCATCGACAAAATCTAGAGATTTTGTAGCGAAATAATCCTTTAGAGATATATAGTACATAATTTTGAAAAGAAGTGTTGACCTTTCATCCAGTTATCGCGGTTTTCAATTATTTATTCAAAATAAATGCAACAAGTTGTTTGATTTTTTATTGTTTTGATACTAATTCTTACATTACAAGCCAAACAGGTAGACCTCTATACATGCAATTTTTTCAAAGTTGGCCTACCTTCTCTTCATTGTACCATGGGTAAAATAAAATCAACGTAGGGCAAAAAGATTTATTTCAACGCATTTATGGACAAAATTTAAACTTTTTGTGGCGAAATAAATCATTAGAAATATATAGAACAAGATTTTGAGAAGAAATGTTGACCTTCAGTTTTCCCATTTTCTGTTAATTTATACAAAATCAATGCAACAAGTTATTTTGTTCAAAACAACTTGTAGCATTTGTTTTGATAGTAATTCTGGCATTACAATCCACACAGGTAGGCCTCTTTACTTGCAACTATTTCTATCTTGGCCTACCTTCTTTATTGCACCATGAACATGGGTGTTATACCATCTATTTATTCTTATTGTTTTTGAAAACTGTCGTGTAGAATTTAGATTTTTATGGAGTTTGAAAAAAGTCACAGTAGACAAATTATTTTGATCTCTATAACAGTATCTCTATATATATTTAATTCTATTTAATTATTTATCTTATCTTTGCATCTTATTTTGTATATATTTCTTTATTTTTCTATTCAGGAATATTTATATATATTATATAAACACATATAAATCAAAACTACATATATTGTATGGAGTATGGAAGACGACAATTTCTGGAACATTGCTTTGGTTGCCTGAATAGTGAGCATTTGCCAAAAAGACGTGTGTTTTATAGAATTATATTCTATAATTCTAAAATATGAATAAAAATTAAATAAAGAAAATGACAATTAATACACTGTTAAAAAGTGTTTCCATGTCGAAAAATATAATAAAAATATAATATTTTATCTTTTTGTCAATATTATAATTATAATATGAACAATTCGTGTATTTTATCTTACTAAAATGTACATTTTATATTATAATAAATAAATAGACACATGACATATTATGTCATTCCTGCATTCAAAAAATATATACCATTTTATGTGATTTGGATTTGTATAACTTTATGGCGTATGATATGTAAAAATTATAACTATGATGCTATTGTATATATTAGTATTTTCGTCTATTTTAAATACTAAATGGCAGAATATAATGTCAACCTTACTAATGGAATTTAAGCAACACAATATTATCTATATAATAATTTTTGATGCGTGACAAATCAGTTGAAAAATACTTTTTTCCGTAATGGTATCGAATCCAAAAATGTATCGCAACTAGTCTGGGGTACTGATTACTATGATGTTCTTTTGATATTGTAAATATCCAAAGATTTCCATGTCAGAATATCGTTTTCCAAGCATGTAAATATTTTACTGTATAATAATAAATTATTCGCCCTAATCACATGTTTGGCTTATCACTCATATAACAGTATTCGATTTAAAGTTTTTAATGGATTTTGGATGAATTAGTTTGACTAATTTGAAACAACAAAAAATATACCAACCGTAAGAAATAAATTATTCATCCTATTCCAATATATGGCTAATCTCTCATGGAACAGTAACCGATTTAAAGTTTTTTTTTGTGAATTTGGGATGAATTAATTTTGAATAATTTGAAACAAAAATAAAGGTACTAACAGTAAGAAATAAATTTTCAAACATAATTTTGTTTTGATCCTATTTAGGGGTACATTCAGGTTTTCGGTTCTTGGAATGTCCAAACTAAAGTTTTCAATACCGGTCCAAATTTCGACATAAATCCATAAAGAAATGACATTATGTTAATAATTTGCAATTATGCTCCAAAATACCTACTTGTGTCTACTTTATTAAAATTATCCGCGGCAGGGGCTAATGTTGGACTTTTTCCATTTATGATTACAATTTAAATTAAATGCCCATGGAAATTGTTCCTTCCCCATGTATCTCCGGAAATTTCTAGAATCATCAGTTTTCATTGTATTAAAATAAATAAAATATTGAGAGCGATTGAAAATGTTCTTTAGAACCTTATACTGAAGACAAATGAATTTATTAATAAACTCCTGAAAAAATATTTTTTGGCAATACACTTTTTTGTTGTATGGCGAATATATATCTAAAATGTTTAAAATGCATAAAGTTAGATGATCTATTTTGTTTATTTTTGTTTGTACCGTTATATGGGGGCTATACCAAAACGAGGACCGATATATCATTCATTTTCAATACCAACCATCCTAGACACAATACAAATTGTTCTGCTAAATGTTGACACTCTACGTCAAATAATGTGGGGTGTATCGTGATTCAACCGACAGACAGACAGACATCGTTAAATCGAATTATAATTTGATGCTGATGATTTATATATATATATATATATATATATATATATATATAGATTATATATATATATATATATATATATATATATATATATATATATATATAGTTATAATATATATATATATATATATATATATATATATATATATATCTATATATCTATATATATATATATATATAGTACTCCCCTATCTTGTGGTCTACATTTTTTAAAAATCATGAGTTCTAACATGTTTTATATTGAAACAATATATTCATTATATTCAATATATATAATATATATATATATATATATATATATAATATATATATATATATATATATATATATATATATATATATATATATATATATATATATATTATATATATATAGATATATATATATATATATATATAATAGATATATATATATATATATATATATATATATATATATTATATATATATATATATATATATATAGATATATATATATATATATATATATATATAATATATATATATATATATATATATATATATATATATATATATATATATATATATAGATATAGATATATATATATATATATATATATATATATTATATATATATATATATTATATATAATATATATATATATATATATATATATTAGATATATATATAATATATATATAGATATATACTCATATATATATATATAATATATAATATATATATATAGTATATATATATATCTATATATATATATGAATATAATGAATATTTTTCAATATAAAACATGTTAGAACTCATGATTTTTAAATTATATTATATATATATATATATATATATATATATATATATATATATATATATATATATATATATATATATATATATATATATATATATATATATATATATATACTCCCCTATCTTGTGTCAACATTTTTAAAAATCATGAGTTCTAACATGTTTTACATTCAAACAAGTAAGCAAAGGCTATATTCGTGCGGGACCGACCATGAGCCTACAACACTACAATATGGTATTACCACTTTTGGAACATATCGCTTTTCAAATTATGTCATAGAGCACTGCCTACATATTACCCTTAGCTTTTTGACCAGCGACATTTACGCACTCCGTCGTGCTGTTACTTGTTATGGTCCATTTTACAGCTAAATATAATACAATGGTCATCCAAAATGCTAGAGGTCCCTCTGTATTTGTGACCTTTATAACGGCTGCAAAATCAGGAACATTTTTAGTTTTTGGTCCCTTTCAGCCCCTAAATATATTGCGGATAAAAGAAAACAATAGGCCTAGGCCTTCTGAGTCTAACCCTACCCTTATGAAAAATTTCGTGAGGATCGGACGATAATTACAATCTGTATATAATAATCCCAACCTGTGTTGTAAGGTGGAAATATATTACAAAATATACACTTATAAGTCAAAATTAAAAATTCGCAGGCGATAAAAAATATGAAAAAGAATATCACAAAATACTACAACTGCTTTTTTTAGATTTTATACTTTTATGCCAAGAGGGCATTCTGAATTGACATAATTTTCCAAAATCGGTCTAGCCATTCATGAGATATATGCATTCTAACTAACATCCCCTTCCTATATTTACTATCGGCATATACGTAACGATCAGGATTGACCTGTCCGTCTATTTGTGATTTCGCCGGGATTAAAAATACTCGCGGTTTAATGAAAAATTTGACTTTTATTTAACACAAATGTTAGGGTCTATTTCACCCACTAAATATTACCCGATGTCCATCAAAATTAGAAGGCTTTTACCCAGCCCTAAGATCCAGTCCCATGCTAACTTCTGCTTCGATTCGTCTATAATTGCGATCTGTAGAGCATCTGCAAATCAGGATTTTTCAGATTTTTGGTTCATTTCAACCCCTAAATATTATGCGATCATCTCCAAAAGCAATAGGGTTACATTCTGGCTCCAGCCAGCCCCACCTCCATTCTAAGTTTCGTGAAGATCGGGTCATAGTTGCGACCTGTAGACTGATTACAAATTAACATGGATAGACGGACGGACGGACATACATAGCTAGATCGACTCAGCTCGACGAGATAGGAAGATCTACATATACTTTCCTATTTCCAATATTTCGAGGTCTTACATAATTTTTGGCACATCAAACTTATAATACCCCCAACACATAGTGTTGTAGGTTATAAACAGTGTTTCAATTAACTGAAAAGAACTGTTTATATAACGATATTGACTCAGGGCAACTCACATGGCATATATTTATAAGGTTTGCTTTTAATCCGGATTTACAAAACCGATTATTTTCTTATAACTTCCGAACCAATCCCATGATATGACTACTTGTTGCATAGGTATTTGGAAATGATTGTCTATATTTTTTTTTCAATTTGTACAGAAACCTAGCCGACAATGCCATGGACGGTTCAAAAAACGTCCTTAATCCTAAAAGTCTTACTTAAAATTAAACACTAAAACAAATTAACAAAAAATGAACAAAATTAACAATTGATTGATGGTTCCAAGAACTCCTATACATGACTACTCAAAACTATTCATAACATCCTTAATCTTAAAAATCATCTATATCTCTTATGTAGATCCGTGTCTAACTTTATGGCCAATTATTCTAATACTCAGATCCGTCTATTACTTTCCTCGTAATCAGGGTAAAATATTTATCGTTCTCCACTCATAAACAAACGTTGTTTTTATGAAAACAACAATAATGGGATTTTGCATGACGATTTTGCAACAACAAAATATTTACCTCTAAAATTTTTAGATAGTTCTAACTAGACTAGTAGTAGACAAATTGGTACGAATGGATCTCACAGAAAAATTAGTAGCATCAAACTATTGCGTGAGTGTAAAGGCTGTCAACGCTTTAAATTCGTTTTTGGCGCCGTCAAAACGTTTGTACTGACTTCATTGTCTGATTATTTCTTGTATACACACTACAAATGAACAGATAAGCCATCAATTAGCTCCTATAATCATTCAATAAAAGTCGTGTTGGATTCTTCTATAGAATAAAGTGAAAATGGTAGTAAATAAATCAGTACAGGTTAATATCTATACTGTACATTATAAGTTAAACAAAATTAAATCGAAATCTTTACCGCTTTATATATATATTTCGTTAATAGTCCAATGCTGAAGGAGATAATCTTCGTAAATTATTTTTGGGTGGCTTATCAGCCAATTCAACTGAAGATTCTTTGCGAAAGTTCTATCAACAATTCGGTGAAGTCATCGATATCACAGTAAGACGAGATCCAACTACCGGTCGCTCCAGAGGATTTGGTTTTGTAACTTTTGCAGATGCCTCCTGTGTTGATAAGGCACAAGCAGCTAGACCACATGTTGTTGATGGAAAGTAAGTATACACACCTTACTGCTTATTAAAATTGTATTTTTTTCAATTGAACACTTCCTCAAATCAATGATTATGTCGGGAGTTCACATCCCATGCACACGTTATTTCGCATATACTCGAGGCTGAATTGTCAATTTAGTATTTTCCATTATGTTCCATTTCCACCGCTAAATATTACTTGAACTTCATTTAAAACAGTTATCTGGCATAAAAAATTCTTTGCTTTCGGAAAATTTCGCGTCAAATATTGTGATATATGATCTGTATACTACATTGTGAGTACGACATCGGTGC